GTCTTTATTTCCGGTGGTTACATTTGTGGTTAAATTTATGTGTGAAGAGGTATTTTATTTTACTGAATTCAAAATGGCATTTTTCAAGTTGGCATGTCAACCCTATGAGATGTTGTTAGTTTCAGTTATTTGTTATGCCGTAACCTGACTTCAGTAACTGAAGTGCTGCACATGCTTAGCCATGCAGTGTATACAGCAGGAAGTGGTAGCACATGTCACTAGATCTGCACTAACTGGGTGCAGCTCACCACTTCCTGTTACTGTAGTGAAAAACAAAGGAAATGTCAGTGTCTAGTTTACTTAAACCTCTCAGAACTTATTAGATTTTTTTTAAAACTTTTCATTGTAACGGTGAGGCTCATGGGTTTTCTCACTACCTTCTGTTTACTGTTTTATAATCTTAACTTTTTCACTTTCAGTGAAGATGCATTTAATATGACTTTCTTCCCATTTGTTACCTTGGATTTTATAGAGTTGTTTTGTGCCAAGAAATCCTGAATTTTAGAGTAGGTCAGATTATGATTGTGTAACTCTTGTTGTTGTTGTGCACGTGGGGTGGGGGAACAGGAGGAGAGAAATATTGACCATAAACCAGTGTTCATCAGAGTGGATTAGGACACACAGTGTGTCCTGAGTGTTGTCCATTCTCTTTTTGAGGCCTTATTTGAAAGGTCTTAAACTGCATCTCTTCTTGGTATGGCCTTGATTTTTTTCTGAACTGATTAATTTGAACCACATTAGTTTCGGAACCTTTTTTTTTTTTTAACATGATATAACTAGCATTTAAACCTTCAGGCCTAGGGATGAATTGAACTTGAAAACCCTCTGAGTTAAATTGCTGTTTCTAATATTATTTTTTAGAAAAGAAGTGGATATTGCTTTATCTTCGGTTTTAGGGGAGGGGAAAATTAAACTTATTTTCCAGCATAAAATCACAGAATACTACAACAGGAAGAAACCTCAAGAGGTCATGGAGTCCAGTCCCCTACACTTATGGCAGAATCAAGCACCATCTAGATTATGGGTGGGCAATAATTTTTTGATGGAGGGGCATTGCAAGAATATGGAAAGTAGTCAATGGTTGTACTCTTCCACAATATTAATGGAGGAGGTGTGGGGTCTCAGATGGAGGTTAGATGCAGAAAGGAGCTTGTGGTAAGGGATTGAGGAGCAGGAGAGGGTGTGGAGTCTAGAAGGAAATTTGGATGAAGGAGGCAGTTGTGACCGGGGTTAAGGGTTTGGGTTGTGACCATGAGCTGGGGCAAGGGACTGGGGTGCAGGGTCTGGTAGGGGATAGCCCATAACATCTCAGGGGGACACCACAAAAGCAGGTGTGGGGGCAGAGGGGTGAGATGCCTGAGGCAGACTCTGGCTGGAAGTCTCTTGCTTGACTCCCAGCCAGCAACCTTCTCAAGCAGACTCCCTGCCCCGCCCCCACACTAGTTTCAGGGGCTTTGTGGTCTTTGAATAGCTAGCTGCCTAAGGGAATGGGGAAGGGTGCTTCACAAGTAGCCTATTAATAACAGGCTCTTCCTGTTGGCTGGTTTCCAGCCAATGGGATTGTGCTAGGAGCAGGGATAGCTCATGAAGCCTCTTCCCCACTCCACTGGGCTTGCAGCTGTTCAGTTTTTCAAACCCGCACCAGCTGCTTTTCTCAGCAGCATGTGGAGAGCAGACAAGAAACCTTCCTGAGGCTCCCTGCTGCACCCACAGGCTGAAACCGGCAGCTTGGCGGACTGAATTTTGCCCAGCCCTCATCTAGACCATCCCTGACCGGTGTCTGTCTGTGAAAGGCTTTGCAATGGCAGCCAAGCTTTTTCAGAATGTTTCCAAATACAGAATCTTTTTGGATTTTATTTTTAACATTCTTTTCTCCCCTGTTGCTTTAAATCCACACCTCTCCAATAAACAGGAGAATCTGATTGTATCTAGCACTCTGTTTCTCTAAAGTGTGATTGAATATGAAAATTCATAGTAATCTTCATATGTAAGCACCTGAACATCAGTAACAGGAGTGTCTTACTACATTGACAGAAATGTGAAGTTTGTGAAGTCATCTAATTTTTCTAATAACTTTGAAACTTTTTAATGAATCGTGAATAAAAAAACCTAAGAGTTGACCATAGCTATACTCATTACATTAAGTTAGAACAATGACATCAAACTTGAAACTATCAAAATATTATTAATGTGGTTTTTGTAGTGACAATATGCATTCTTACTAATGTTACTTTAAATTTTGTATCCTCACTTTATTCAGCAGCTGAAAGTATGTGGCATCTTCACTAAATCAAAATGTCCCCACCTCCCAAGTGTGAAAGACAGTCAAAGTGATTCATGCGTTTCTATGCTGATGTGTCATCTTCGAACTCAATTGCAATATAAAAAAAACCTTTAACTTCCAGTTTCTAGCTTGTATAGAAGTCCTTGACGCTAGAAACAATTTTCTTCACTAAATGTAATTGTCCATTAAATGGCTATTGACAGAGGAAAATCCATGTGGATCACTGACCATGATTAGATGTTGAGTAATATTTATTTAGGAAAAAAATTGGGCCATGATTTTCAAAATGGATTGATAATTTAGGGCTGTAACAGATGTAAGTGTTCTGACTTAGCACCAAGCAAACGTTATTTGTATCAGAAAAATCGAGCTCTCTTAAACGATTACCTAAAAACCCAGATGCCCTAATAATAGTCCATTTGGAAATCATGGCTTTAACTCCTAGATCCATTGTTTTCATGATCACATTCTCAGATTCGAATAAGTGATCTTCAAAATTCTACCCATAAGTCATGTGAGTTACGGATGTGAAAAGGTACCTATTTACATGGTCCACCAATGAGCCTGGGCTCATTGGTTAATATGCATGGTTACACAGAGCTTCCTCCCAACCCCATTGCCTCTGACAGAGAGAGCAGTGTGGGGGAGGGGGAGATGAGAGCTGGTGCACGCGAAGAGCTGGGTTTTTTTTTGTTTTGTTTTTTCAGATGGCTTTCCGTAAGCACTGGCACTTGGGGAGCTGCCCACCTGCTCATGCCTGTGCTGCTTCCTCTGTGGGTCCTTGTGGGGAGCTGCCTGCCCTCCCCTCTTTCCCCTATGTAATTTCAGCAGTTAGACGTTTCCCTGAATAAGCAAACTTTAACATCCCTAGTAGGAGTTACTGCCACTTTTTTTTTTCCTACATAGTGCACACAACTTCTTTTCAGAACTATGGAACTAACATGTAGCCTTTCCTTACTACATTTGTGACTTAAGCTAGAAAACAACACTTGGGATAAAAATTTGAAACGTGCTTTTGGATTAAAAAAATACATCATTTACTACAGCAGGCCTACTTTATTGATCAGCCTATACATCTGGTCTTCAGATAACCAAAGTAGTAACTTTCTTTTGTTTACAAAGTGCCTCCCCCCTTATTGCAGCTTCTGATTGCAAAGTTTGGGCTTATTTCATTCTGAAGTAGCCACTAAAATACGAAGGTAGGTATTTGTAAAACTTAATTTTTCAGAGGTGTTGAACAACCAGTACTTCTGTGGACTTTGGTTAAACTTGAGGGCTGTCAGAACTTCTGACAGTTGGGGATCTCTCTAATGAGGATCCCAGAATTGGTGGCTACTTTTTGAAAGCTTAGTCTTACAGTACAGCTAAGAAGGATCTTTTAGGTGAGATCTTCAACTGGTATACACTAGGGATGTGAAAAATGTAACTGTGTAACCACTGAAAATCCTAGCAGCTACATGCACGGCAGGCTTTGCTGTATAAAGAGTATATACTTTATTTTAGAACAATTAATAGAAAAATTTTACTTCCTTTTGTCACTAAACTTAATATATGTTTCTCTCTGCCAGGAATTGATTTTAAAATCCGAACAATAGAATTAGATGGAAAGAAAATTAAACTTCAGATATGGTAAGTATTACAAAGCAATTAAAATAAAAGTAAGTTTTTCAGTAAGGCTAAATTACTCATGGGCAGCACAGTGTGATAGCATAAGTAGAGCAGATTTAGTGAAGGAGAAGCTGTAAAACTTGTGGTAAGCTCTAGCATGAAAGCCATCTGCCACCTTGTTCTTGAAGCAAAGATTCTCATAGCATTTGTGGGGGAGGGGGAGGTGACCACCCAGAGTCCGTTACCTTTAGTTACGTTTGACATCTACTGTTAAAATGGGAAGTTGTTAAAGCTGCCTTTAAATGGCTTGAATATTCCAGAGGCAAGAGAGATCTTGATTGCACAATTGTAGGCTGGGCAGAGAGAGCTTCTAGCTTTTTTAAAACAAAATCTGATTTGTGTTGATGGATGTTTAATGTAATGGTCATGGAGTCAGAGTGCATCACGGGAAATGGGGATTGTCAAAACTTCTTGGATCATGAGGGAAGGACCGATGTCCACCAAAGTTGGCCTTTTGCCATTGCAAGTAATTGTCTGGCTGCCGCCATCTAACTTCTAACAGATTCCTCCTAAATGCCACAACATTTTTAATAATAAAAAAAAACCACCTGCTTAGGTGCTTGCTGATATGTTGAGGTGGAGGTTGGAATGAGTCCTGTCTGATACTTTTGTACTCAGACTGAGGCTCATTGTTGCAAGTGGCTTTTTCACGTGTTGCCTGTGGCCCTTTTGACAGCATGTACTAAAACATCATGTAATTTTAATTTTTTTCACCAATCAGCATGCTTTTACTATTTCACTTAACTTATTTTCTATGAGAAGAACACATATAGAACTATAATAAATGAAAATGTACACTGCTGTAATTTGGATAATGTTGATGGCTAACTTGGCTCCTGAAATACTGAGGTCTGAGTATTAGGGATGTCTTTGTATAGTTGTTTAAATGGTCATTTGGATTTAACCGTGTGCACACACACTCCCTTGCTGCCTCTGTATCAGAGACAACAAGTAGGGGGAAGATGGGAGGCAATGCCCATGGAGAGGCAGCTTTTAAACCAGCTCCCCACGAGCATTGGATCCCATGGTGCCACTTGCCCTCACTCACCCCTGCACCGCTGTTTCTGATAGAGAGGCAGCAATGCAGAGGATGAGGGGAGCAGGCAGGAGCCAGTACAAGTGGGAAGCCAGCTTTTAAACTGGATCTCTGCATGTGTGGGCGCCACAGAGCCTCCTTGCTGCCTCCCTGCTCGGGGAGGTGGGGGTAGGCGGGATGCCACAGCAACTTCTGTCTGCAGGGGGCTTGGGCCCCACGCAGACAAGGGCTGCTGCCGCCCCGCAGTGCTGCCTCTGTATCAGAGGCAGCAGCAAGGGACAACAGAGGGGAGCTGGCCTGCGCAGGGAGTAGATTCTTAAATTGGCTCTGATTGCCGTCCCAGTGTGAGTTGGTGGGGGCTCCCTGGAAGTGTGGCTGGGAATGAACTGGCTGTTAGCATTTTAGCAGTAGTGGAACAGCTAAAAATTGTTGCATCTACATGGTAACTAAAATAACTGATATTGAACATCCCTACTGAGCATCACTGGCATGTAAGAAAAATCATCACTAAGTACCTTAAACCTCCTTGTATGTTTTGGTGTTCAGCTCTTACCCATATATATATGATGCTGTGGAATCAGCTAGCAGACTTCCAAAGGCATTTTGACTTCAGCTGCTTTTGGATGCAGTTGACATTCATTACACTTCCTGATCTCACCAGTCAAATCTCAGGCTTATTGGGGAATCAAGTACTCAGTTACTCTCCCCTTCCCCCTTTAAACCTCCTTGTATGTTTTGGTGTTCAGCTCTTACCCATATATATATGATGCTGTGGAATCAGCTAGCAGACTTCCAAAGGCATTTTGACTTCAGCTGCTTTTGGATGCAGTTGACATTCATTACACTTCCTGATCTCACCAGTCAAATCTCAGGCTTATTGGGGAATCAAGTACTCAGTTACTCTCCCCTTCCCCCTTGCTGCCCTTGAATCAGGAACAGGAGTCTGCTAGCTGATTCCACAGCATCATA